TTTTTTTTGTTTTTTAAGTGGCCCTAATCCACTTCCCTAAGAAACAGAAAGATGCCAGTTGTTGAATAATAGCTGTGTTATGTTGAAATGATGGATGTTTTTGAAGGATTTAGAAGTTGTTGAGTGTAAACTAAGTCATTCAAATATAGATGGCAACACTATCAATTTAAGATGGATATATATTTATGGCAACTCTTTCAAATAGGTCAGTGGCTAAACTTGGATACAAATTATGGCTTTTTCCCTGTAATCATCTCTTCCTGGTTGAGCTCTCTCTTCATCCCTAAATGTAAAACTTCTCACAACTCTTCTTACAGAAGGTGTGCCAAAAAAAACAAGGTGCAGCCATCTGTTTCGATCAGCTGCAGAGGCCACAGGAAGAAAGAAATACACAACAAACAGAATGGGGTTGAGTATAAACACAGAAATGGCTGCAGTAAGGCACACTGGGAGAACACAGAGCGAGTATATAATCTTAAAATTAGAAGCAAAAAAAAAAACCACATTGTCTAAACTTAATGCAGAGCTGCTTCACTAGGAGGAGGCTAATAAATAAGGGATGTGGCTCCATTCCTGCTTTGGAGGTTTTAATATGATCAGCAGTGCTGAAGTAAGACTGTGGGAGATGTTTGGAGCACTAGCTGCTATGAGACACTCTGCTGCATTATTTTTTTTTTTTAGCCATATGGAGAGACTTAAAATATTCCACTCTAAAAGAGAAAAAAATGCATAAATTGCTATGATTTTGCTGAATAGCACAGAGTTCTGGAAATGTGTTAAATGTGCAAATTAAAGTGACTCATTCTAATCAAATAACAGCCTTTAGTTTTGAATTTATTCCTATTACAAGAGTTGCTACATTTTTATTTAATTCTACCATTGAAAGTTAACGATTTATCGCTCTTAATTAATGTGGTGTACAACAGAAAAAAGATCTCTGTATAAAATATGCAGGATAAAAAGGCATACCCATTTGTGTTACTGTCAACCAGAATGAATTATGTTTGCTAAATACCAAACTAATAACAAAGAACAATTTTCTTAGCAATTGTTGATTGTATTGTTTCCTTAAATTTAGATCTGTGCAGAAATTCCGGCTGTAGTTTCATCTTTATTTGACTAAAGTCCAACCTTGTGTGTATTCTTCCAAACACTTTACACAATAGATTCCTGGAATTTTAGACCAAACCTCCTGACAAAAATGATGCTGCTTGATCAGGTCTATAGACTACTATTTTGATGTACGCTTGGGGTTATTCTTCATTTAGAACATCTATTTGTTATAAATTCCTTGCTGCTGTCACAAAATGTTGGTTCAATAATTTCCCCAAAATCTTCTTTCCATGAGATGCCATTGCTTCTAGCAGCAAAACACCCACAAAATATGCTTGCAATTTCCTGGAAATGTTAAAACTAACATTCTGGCTCAATATTTAAATCAAACCACAGTGTATATAACTGCAACCTGGCCTTACATGCTTGGATTTTTGATTGCTTTCGTATGAAATTGCTTTTAGCTCATGTTGTAACATGACTTGTTTTACTGTGGATGATGATATTTTTCCATCTTCAGGTTTTTGTTCTATTTATTTACAGGGAAACAGAACCCGTATCTGTGCTGAATTATGCAACGACACCTCTGGTCATAACTTTGGAGCGTAAAACCTGATTTAATGCATTGATGTGCTGATTAAAACACTCTTCCATGTGGCAGTCAAAGTAAGAATGTGTCCCTACAAATCAAGACCCTTCTCCAAAACTGATATCCACAAAAAAGGCACTATAATCACCAAAGTTTTGCAAAAACTTTATTCATTTTTCAACAAATGCCTGTAAACGTAACAAATACTTTATAATCAAACTTCAGTACAATATAAACAAAACCCACCACAGCTGTAGAGTAAACACAGACTTAATCTTGCCTTACTTTATGACATTTTTATCTTATATCTGGTACCACTGGCCCTCCAGGCTCTGTAGAAAAGTTTAGATTTTCATAGTTGAACCATCACGGTCTTTGCAAAATTCAAAATTAAGACAGTTAAAAGCCAGAAGTCGTGTCAATGTTGCCGACATTAAAGCTCAATGAAGACAAGCACCCAGAAGAACAATTAATATGATTTAATCCTTAATAGATCATCCTTACAGCAACATACCAGTAAAAGGTGTTGTAGAAATATATGTGGTACATACTGAAAAAAAATTCCCAGATTAAAGTTGCAAAACACCAGGAAGGTTTCAGAAAAGGACAACAGCATCATCAGGAAACGTGGATATTCAACTTTTAACAATATGGAGTAGATTTGATATCATAAAAAAGCTTGAAACAAACTCGATGACATTTAAGAAAAAGCACTTATCGTAGGAAGTTGAACAGTCTAAAAGTCACGATATAGAAAAGGCTTCCTGAAAGATTGTAATTTCCAGCAGTAAAAACATAAAAAGAGAGGCACTAAAAGTGGGATTCAGAGCTCACATAAACTGGTCAAAAACATAAAAAAGCACAGTATAAATCACGAGTGAAAAGCTTTGTTATAAATTATAAATCACTTTTTTTTTCCCAGCATAAAACGTTTACCTTTGATCCAAACTCAAATGAACAAACACTTTCCAAGTAAAGAAATTCTCGCCGGCTTTGACTGGATGCAATTTTTAATCTTTAAGTCATTAAAACTTCATCTTGCCATTCATATTTAATGCTTATCAAATTGCACCAAAAGTTTCCTATATGCTAGATGACTTGAAAAGGCAGAAAAGTCGTATAAAACATGATCTTTTCACTGTAATAATTCTCATTAAGACTTGGCTGCAGGAGAGATTTATGCAGTAAAGCATGAAGGAAAAAAAATCTCCAGTCAAATGTTTAATGACGTGCAAAGAAAAGCCATAAAGATTGCTTTCACATCAAGTTTCCCCACACCACATGCAAACACGGCCTATTTAATGCAAAACTGATTAACATTTATTATTCACAGTTAAAGACCTGCATCAATCTTACATATTTTTTCTTATATCATTTTAGAATTTAAGCCCTATTATTTATTGTAGTGCCTTACAAATATTCTTCCACAGTTTCAGGAACTTTCTGAAATCGCACCTAGAAATCTGCTGGTGATCAGAATCAGATTCAATTTTGGCTGCAAACTCAAAACCTGACATTTGTATTAACAGCGAATGAACCACAGGTAAGAGCTAACGGGTTTAGATCAAACTTTTTAGTGTAGAAGTGATAGCAGAAGGTAAAATATTATGTTTCACAGATGAAGTTCAGATATGTTAGAAGCTATTGTAAAGTAAAATGATTCATTTACAGAAGGATCTGTGCTGTTTATCAGAGTTCTGACTCGAGAAGGTACCAATTATAGTTCTCTTTATTTCACAGCTGTTTGTTTGGCCCAAAAAGCTGCTGCATGGTGAAGAACACTAATTTGTGACCAAATTGTGGAGTTATGGTCGAATCTCCGGGAAGTAAATTAATCTCAAGCAGCAGTTGCTTAAATTTCTGTCATAAAACTGGCTGCCTTTTAAAAAAAAAATCTCATTTACTTACAAATTTACATTTAGCAATGCTTATCATGCCAATCGCTGGAATAAGATGCAAAAGAAACATTTTTTTATTTTAACTCAGTAGCCTTCTACTTCTAATATAAATAATTATTGATTGCAAGTAAAAATATGTAGAAGGAAAACTGACTCAGTGGAAAAAAAATAACCAGAGTTGGGAAACGGACACAAATTGCAGATAAGTGCATCTCCAATCACAACAGGAGAGTCATGTAGCTCCAAAGAGCTACTTTAAGTGCTTGTGTTTAATGCAATAGTTTGTCAAGTGTTTTTTGATTGTAAACGGCTAGTGGCTGACTGAATGAGAAGGGTGAAACAAACCCTCTGTTGCTGCTACACAGTATTTTAATGGATAGTGGTAAATGTTTTTTTATTATTTATTTATTCTGGTTGTAGTGTCCTTATGCCACCCTCTTAAGGATGTAGAGAATGCCGATGTTGTCGATGGTGACAAAGGTGGAGAAGTCAGGAGACACGTGGATTTTCTTCAGAGCACTTCCTGATGGATAGAAAGTCTGCAGGGCTTCCCCTCTCGCCACGTTCCACCACTGGATGTAGGATAGAGAAAGACAATCCCTTTAACCGTCATGGTTGAACACATTTTGTTGATTGATTTTCAGCTCGTTAGATACAGGCAATCTGGAAATTAGTACATTTCTTTAAATGAGAGGTAACGGTGAGGGAAGGCGTTATGCCTCTTCAACTAGATAACTGCTAGACACCGAATATTACCTGCATTAAACAAAAACAAATGCAAATGTCTAGTTGTATAACTGTTGCAGCACATGTCATAAATGAAGGAAGCTCAATCAGTATGCCCAAAGGACCAGGATGAATTTATGGCATCAAACGACAAACTTACGCATGAAAACACACATTTCCCATCAGCTTTCTTTAGCTATTCGGTTTAATCTGTGTTTAAAGCCAACGTTCACCAGAGAAGCTCGGCCTCACAGGGAAAACATTAAATAAAATCAAAGGCTCATCAAGTCAATCACAGATGGCTTGGGATGAGTGTCTTTGCAGAACTTTATCTTTGACAACATTTCGCATGATGGTGTCACATCAAAGCAGAGGACTGCTACCTCTTATAGCGACATTTAAAAAAAACATGAATAACATTAGAAGATATATGCATCTTTATAAAGTCAGATGACAATAGATAGAATAAACAACAATTGGTATTTAATGTAAGTAAAGAACAATGGTGATTTATATATCCTCAGTCTTTACTTTGTAAAAACACTTTTCACTATATATCAGGACTGACTTCCTTCTTTTTCCACTCAGAGAACAGATATATTCATATCACTGTAAACCCTGATTTAAAAACAAGTTAACATTCTTTGAAAAAAAATTAAAATAAAATAAAAAGTGTATTTCCTTTCATTCAGTAAAGTTAACCACCAATAAAATGGTATTTTGAACCTAATATAAAGATATTAAAATGATACGGCACTTGAAATGTTTGTATTTTATTATTTTCAGTGTAAGAACTTGATTCCATTGGTATTTTACTAACCTACACAAATTAAGTGAAAATACACTTATTGAGAGATAATGTTGCATTTAGTTCACTTTTTACAGTGAGATCAAATTACAAACAGAAAGGCTTTATTGCATCTGTAGTTAATTGAAGGAATCATAAGCAGGTTAAATAAATTATTTTTTTGCAGTTTCCTGCTAATAAAGCTACAAAAAAACTGTACTATGCATTATGTGCAACATTAGATTAGTGATCAAACTACTATATAAAATCCCAAATAGGACACAATGGAGTTTGTGGTTCTGATGGGACAAATGTGAAACAAAAACATTGGAAAACACACAAAGTGTTTATTTTTTAACAGATTATAGACCTGAGTAGTAATATTAACTAAGATTTGTACTAAAAAATATTTTAAATAAATGTACTTTATATAAATATATACTTTTTATAGATCTATATCTATCAAATACAAAATTTGTACGTTAATTTTGTATAATAAATAAGTTACAAATTGTTTTTTTTATACCAATTTAGAACAACAACTCTAAAAACTTAGATCTGGAAAAAAAACAAAAAACATAAAAGAGTAGGAACCCTGTTTCTTATAGGTGATTAAAACTTCCAATGCAGTGGTGAAATAAAACAGAATCAAAAGAGAGGAAGGAAAAGATGACTGGTGTTATTTTACACCCACTACATGTTCTTTAATGTTTACCTACTATGATGAAATGGTGAGATGTTTAGTTGAAGATCAAAGCTATGCTCAAGGCTTAAAGAGAGCGCTCCTGACATCTTGTTAAAGTAATTTCTGCACGCTTCATAGATACAAATGCACACCCTGACTCAGGAGGATACATCCCAACTTTTTACACTTCCTGATGAGAAATAATTACTGAAACCAGCAACCGCCAGCATGCAGCAGCAGCAGCCATGCATTTCTTTAAGCTGAGACAGCCATACAAAAACACATAAAGAAATATTTTGGATACACGATCATGGAAATGGAGCCCTACATCTAAATCATGACACTTTAAAGGTCCAAATACATGCATTTTGCTTTGTATTTTGAGCCCATTGGGTGTAAAAACAAATATTTTTCAACATCTTAAACTAAAGGAAGGCCTACATAAGGGGTTCATTTAATATCTTATTGCTCTGGAACCTGGAATGTGTTTTCTGTTGGTTTAGTATGGATGCAAAAGGAGCAAACGTGATCGATTTACCACAATTTTCCGCATATATACAAAAATGCTAGATCTGGGGCGACAACGACCTGTAGTCTCACAACCCAACAGACGAGTGATTATACAGGAGATATAATCTGGAGTCTTTTTCTGATCACAAGAAGACAAAAAAAAACAAAATAAACAAAACAGATGGAAGCTGATAAAACTACACTAAAACCACACTAAAAGAAAAGAAGAAGCAAATACATCTCAATGACGGCTAAGATAAGATGGCAGCCAGCTGTGGCTCAGCAAAGCATTATCCCCTATACACTGTCACATGCATCAAATAAACCACCCAATAATTTAAAAGATATGTTAAAAATATATAGAGACAAATAAATGTTTGAAGGATTCGAGTGGCAGGATAGTGGAAGAGAACAAACCAAAGGTGTGAAATCCAGGTTATTTTCAGAGTGGGCCTGGTTTTATTGCAAGGAAAATTACAATGCAGAATAATTAACACATTGAGGTGATGATGAGACTTTAAAGGGCGGCAAGCATTTATTATTAGCGAGGAATATGAAGAATGTTTTTGAAAGACAAAAAGAAGAGCTGAAGAGGGAAGGAAAAGAGCCGTAAACAATGAAAGATTTTCAGGTTATCTAAACGAAGAATCCAAGAGGACGGAAAGACAGTGGATGGAAAACGGATGGAAAAAAGGGAAAGATAAACAACTAAATGCATACATAGATGGACAGACAGAATTTAGACAATGGTTAAAGGGTAGAGTCTGGAAATGCCAAGATTCAAACCCCCTCTTTATCTTTATATATAAAGTTACTCCTGGAAAACAATTAAATTATATATTTTCCTTAACATTGAGGCCTTTCTGGTATCGTAGGGATTTTGTGCAACAGTAACCAGAACAGATGGCTGCTAAACACCATCTCTGTGAGGAAATTGATTTATGCGACTTAGTGATGCAAGTAGATGCTAAATGACTACGTTGTGTGAGGATATGTCCGAGCTGCTTGGTGAGCATATTGTGTGCATTTTCTGAAAATGTATAATGTTTAATTGTTTGCTGAGGCAGCAGGAAGTAACCAAAGTTTTGCTTTAATAACTTTACTTATTTATGCAAGTAGAATGCAGTCAAGTATGATCCCTTAAAATGAAATGTAATGATTACAGATAATTCATCATTAAAATACCAGACAGGTACCAGGTTGAATCATTTAGACTGCCTTAGACTCTCCAGGCAGCCTTTTAATCAATTAAAGTAACCATTGGATGCAATGCAAGGATTCACTTTGTATTACAGATGTAGCAGCATTTGAATTAATCAGTCCATTCACTATTATGCATCGACTAAAAACACAGATGCATAGTTTAAAGATGCTGGATGTTGGATAAGAAACATCAATCAGAACAGTTGGAAATTACAGATGATTGAACACTTATGGGGAATTTATAAAATCACATGCCATGCAATCTTGCAAAAAACAAAAACAGACAAAGTCAGTGAGACTTTTTTCATTTAGGCCCAGACAAATCTACTTTGTTCTAAAAGATCGACAAACTGTCGTATTATAAAATTTAAAGGGTTTATATTAGGCACAAATCAACTTTCTAAGCTTTTAACTAACTTATTAGCTATTCCTTTAATCAGAATCATGTGAAAAGAGGCATTTTACTCGATTCATGCATGTCTAAGTTGCATGACGTTGCTTCTCCAATTTGGCGCTGTGTTCACTGTGTCGGTGCAGCACGGCCAAAGTATGTGCTTCCAGAAGGGGAGCACAGTTAGGATGAAGAGGCTCTTTTAGCAGCTAAGATTTTATTTTTTATTTTTTTTAGAAAAAGCATAAAACATGCACTCCTCTGTTTATCTTTGATGGTCACTTTGCTCGGTATACCTCGGCCTTTACCAAAGGGAATTATCTGGGAGAATAGTTGCTAAAACTGGTGGGATTCCTACAGTAAAACCAATGTAGAGGCCAGATCTGCAAACAAAGCTTGATAAACTGTAGCAGCAGCTACGTTTCCTTTACACTAATGTGTGTAAAACGATGTTGCTATTATGCTAATTTTGAAAATGCAAAATTTCATAATTGCAGTGTGTCCGTTAAATAAATACAATTTGAATTGCATATGAATACGTTTGCTCACATGATGAGTCTGTAAACAACATGGCAGCAGCAGATGTCATCACATGAGATTAATCCAAATTTCAGCCACAAATCTATTGGGCGTCATCATCCTGTAACTACTTCCCATCTTCTTCTTCATATTTTTACGCAGCAGGAAGGTCCAGTTGGAGATCACATGACTTGTATGATGCAAAAAAAAACAACTAAATCCTTCCATTTCGGTTTTGGGAAATATAAGAATTACAATGACTGAAAAACCACCTAATGGAACAATCAACTTTTTTTTTTTTTTTTTTTTTGGATGAAAAATGTGAGGTTTTTCAAAGTTGCATCATTTACATTTGGAAAATATATTTTTGAAATTAAAATTTGAGCAATTTGATGACTAATGGAAATCCCGCTAATGACATAAACAGCTATAAATCTGCAATAATGTGTGTGGTTGGAAAATTTAGTACATTTTATTTCATATATTAATTTATGCCATTTACTCACTATAAAAGTTTTCACTCAGCCCGTTTCACCTGCAAGGCCACACAATTCCCCTGTGTAAGGGTGTTTTTAGGCAAGACATACCCTCTTCCCAAGTCACAGTTTATTCATAAGATGTTACTGTTTAACCAAATTGTCTGTAATTTGTTATGAATTTGATTACTTTCCATTATTGTAAGTAAGGGTGAACGAACGCTGCCCAGGCAGAACAGGGCGGATTACCATGCAATAAGGGCTGTATGATTAAC